ACTTAATTCTGTGCTGAATTTGAATTGCACTTTTCTCTGCAACAGTTGCAGTTACAATTGTTTTGCAATTCCATACATCAAGAACGACTGTTTAGAAAGAAGTGATTTGAGAAAACACTTCAGCATCATCAAACTGCTTCCATTAAAAGAAATCTCAACCTTTGCATATGTGAGAATTAAAATGTCAGGTGGGTTCCTGTTTGATTGTTCAGGCATGAAGCTGCTGTTGTTGTTTAGTAAAGTGAAGTGGGTGTGACATCCACTAGCAGTATGTAATTTAGACTGGTGCTCATTGACAGGATGGAGAGAACACAAGTGCAGAAACACAAACACACATGCATTAAGTTTCAGGAATCAAATCAACTGTAACCTTATAAATTTGGCAATGCTTTAAATTACAGCTCGTAAGTTACTGTGTAATTATTTAGTGCATGCAGGGTATCAATAAAATATGCATTAAGTAGTTATATGCAAGTTCAAGGGAAAAATGCAGGTTATGAAGGTTATGAAATAATGCGTTGATAATCTCTGACTACCTATTTAGTAAATACAGGGTAAAATAGTAATATTACTCGATAACAAGGCAGGAACACAGTAGTAACAGTCTTGATAATGAAATGAAATATTATAAATAAATAAATACATTTATATTATAGTTTATTTTAAAATTATGATGTATTTACAAAAAATGACTTTGGGAAATTACAATGTAAAACTTTTTTATTGTGTACTGTACTACATAAATATAGTGTTAGTGGTAATGTAAAGATTTTTGTTGTTACTGGGGAACAACAATAATGTTGTGCGGGAAGAAAGGAAATTCTGGGATGTTAAATACTGTTCAATTGCCCCTTTTAACTGTAATTATAATGTAGCTACAGGGTATATTCATGTTTTTATAATGTTTTTTGCATTTTTTTTAAGTATGCCACATGCTGTTTAACTCATTTTATGATACAGTTGTGGTGAAAGGTATATATCAAGTCTGCTGGTACCCTGTTTGTACATAATTATTCAATATCGACTTTGTAATTAAAAAAGCACTTACAGAGTAAATTCATTGTAAATTTGTTATCCTCTTGTTTCTTGTATGTCTCCACATGTACCTAAGTACAAAAATACTCCCACAACTGTAAGCGAGGCACTAATAGAGGGAAATATAAAACAACAATAACAAGAAGGTAACACTGGTTATGTGTTGCTCGTGCACTTCTCTGACAAATACAAGACAAACAAACACAGACAGGATGACAGGCCAAGATGTGAAGCCGTCTTTCTGTTCATGTGCTGTGGCAGTCGGCCTCAGGCGGGTCTGAGCCAGTCTGTCCATTATTACTGCACATGACCCTTCTGTGCATCGGGCGACCTGGCCTCAGAGCACTGACCAAGCCCCCACAGTCTTCCTACATATGCCTGACCTGTCACTCAGGGACACAGCCCTGTCAAAGAAAATTCACTGCTCGCATGAGCAACAACGTAAACTTAAATGCAGCTATTCCAGCACAATGATCCTCAGAGAACGACTAAATGTAGGCATCAGTAAAAGCCCCCTGTTTGGTTTCTGAACAGGTTTATTGGGGCAAATGAGATCAAATATGGTTAATGAACACTTGTTTGATGGTAGTATGCAGCTATAATGCTAGCATGGCTAAAGACTTCATGGTCTATCGGTGGGTCCACCAGCCAGACTAAAATACCCAACAACTATGTGATGGTTTGTCATGAAATGTTATACCGATATCCATGGTCCCAAGTGGATGAATCCTAATGACTTTGGGGATCCCATAACTTTTCTTGTAGCACCACTATTAGACTGACATTTGGAATTCAGAGTGAAATATCTTGAAAAATATTGCATGGATTGCCATATAGATATTGAGGGTCCCTAGAGGATACATTCTAATTATTTTGATAATCCCCTGACTTTTCCTCTGGCACCACCATCAGGTCAAAGTTTTCACTTATTCGGTAAAATAGCTCAACAAGATTGGCTCAAAATATTAAACAAACATTCATGGTGACCAGATGATGCACTCTAATGATGGTGATCCACTGATATTTCCTAGGATGGAAGGCTTTGAATTCTGGCACATTCATGGTGACCAGATGAATTGTAAAACCCTTTCTCCTCTACCTGTTTTATCTAGCACAATAATCAAGTCAAAATGTCTTTTCATCCAATCAGTCTAATAGCAAATGTTGGCATGCTAAAAAACTAATATGGTGAAAATGGTAAACATTATACCTGCTAAGCATCAACAAGCTCACATTATCATTGTGAGCATGTTAGTGTCCTGACGTTAGCATTTAGCTCAAGTACAACCTCACAGAGCGACAGCTTTAGACTCTTTACCGTGTTCTGTTTTATTTAGCGGTGGTTTCAAACTCACTCCCCTTAACATACTTAATAAATGGATAAGAGGTTGATTGCATTTTCCTACACAGTCACGAACTCCCCACCAGTGAGACAGTATTTGACTTAAATACCCTGTTTTCATAATAAAATAATGAAGATTATGTTGTCAGCCAATGAGAATCTAGTAATGTGACTGCTGTCACACACATTTCTTCTCTTTAAACACCAACCTCCACCCAAGCTGTTACTCTGTATTCATGTGAAACGAAGAGGTGTCTCAATTTAAATCTTTGCTCTGTAAAGTAACTGTGTCTCCCACCCCATTTTCTTGTATATAAACATTTGTCATCTCCAAACTTATTTGAGGGCAACCAATAATGTGCAAAAAATATTCAAACAAAGAAAATAGTGCATTTCTTGGGACTGTTTTCAGCTGTGGATTAATCCACATTTGGTGCACTCTGACAGAACTGAGACGGTGTGTGGGGAACTGACTTGAAACAAACTACAGTGCTCATGGTCATAATGAAGTAACATGTCACCCAGTGCAATGTTGTACCTCATTAATGTGTTTTTAATAGTTTGGGGACACAAGTCCCAGTGCAAGTAGAATCAGTAATACATTGTTGGTTTCAGTCTTTTTTATGTTGAAAATAACAAAAATAGAGAGAGAGACAAAAAAACATCCATTGGTTTCTGTTCCCCTGTTGGCTTCTGATAATACTAAGCATAAAAATCGTAAGTGGTATCCAAATCGATAAATAATCTTTAATTTGGTTCACTCCAACCCGAGGGTACCTCTGAAATGAAGACACGAGTTGGTATCAATTAAGGTTCTTTAAAACCCTTAGTGCCCAAATTCTGCAATTCATCAAAATCCATAATCATCCAAAATACTCTTTCTCAGAATCATACCTCAGTCAAATCTCAACACACAGTCAAAATACACATATGTTTTGATTGAGTGTGACTTGCAATTTCTATCGTAAATAAAACTGCTCCAATCGTAGATAAAAGATGCTCCTCAGAGCTCCAGTACTTGACTGAGAATCATTCAGTATCAAAGTAATCCAATGAGAGTTGTCTGTACATCCATGGGTACAGTGCAAACAGGAACTGCTAATAGCTAATTTGGCATGCTTTAAATGGTGCCATTTTGCCAACATGTAAACAAATGTTTAAAAAAATGGGGCTCAAGCTATAGCCCACTGCTAACTAACTGAGCTAACTCCATATTTCATGTTTACTCTCAAAGCATTATGGTCACTATAGTTCCAAAACTTAGCATGATTGTCCCTCAAATCAAAGTAAGACAAAGCATAGTAATAAGCGGGAAAATCCATTAATATTAATATTTCATGTAGCACTATCAATATTTTTGAGATTAGAGAAGATGGTGGGTTTTGGGGCTGCAGTTGTCTCAATTTCATCTGAGGGTAAATCCCTGCCTGCTCTTTATAATCCAGAACTGACCTGTAACTGTACCTTGAGGTTGCAAGTTGTGGCGAAAATAGGAACACAGCTTACAAAAGCCAAACACACACACATGCGCGCGTGCAAACACACACACACACACACACACACACACACACACACACACACACACAATGTTAAACCATCATTCAGCCTTATTTTGTTGTTCAAGAAATACCAACATATGGATGTACTACATGTGTAGTAATTTAATTTAATTTTCTGAGAGAGGTATCTCTCTCATTTCTGCTCATTGTGAAGATGTTGCGATTGTATGTCTATAACAATAGAACTGTGTGTGTGTGTGTGTGTGTGTGTGTGTGTGTGTGTGTGTGTGTGTGTGTGTGTGCGTGCGTGCATGTGCGCGTGCTGTCTTTGCTGTCAGCTGCCTGTCTCACTACGCCTGAGGTCTTGCCACAGGGAAGACTTCCGCTTGTCATCTTCACTCAAGGTAAAGGCAAAAAGCCCTTTAATGAGGTTCATCCTCCATCCTCCCAAAAACACAATTTCTTTTGTTTTACCACCTGTGCCATCATTGCTTTGTTATGGCATGAAATAATTGTCTAAAGCTGTTAGAATAACAATTTGCAAGCAAGTAGTGTTAATTGTGTATAATTTAGACATTTGTTTCCCCATTTACACTGCACATCATAGTTGTCTTACAGTTTTTTCAGTTGCTAACCTGCACTGGTCAAAACTGAAGTCACATTGTCAAAACGCTTTACACAGTCACCGAAACAGAAGTGTATGTGGACCAAACTGAAAATCATTTTTTATTGCTTTCACACAAAATGCATTCAATGGCCACTTTCTCCAAAATCTATGAACTCTCTTCTCTTTACTACTTCACCACCTGCAAAACAATATATATCTGCAGCACATTTTACAAATGCTAAGACACTGTGTCCAAAACTGTTTAAAACACATTCAAAACAGAATGATTGCAAATATCTTGCATTTTTGCAGTAACTGGACAGATAAATACAGAGTAGGAAATGTGCTTATATTTTACAGTTTTTCTCAGTCATCAATTACAGGTTGTGGTCATTGTGTTTCAGGTACCAGTTTTACTGTGAACTTTTTTTTTCACAAGTAAATTACTGAATGCAGTGATATAGAAAAAAATAAAGGATATTGAAGCAAATTTCTGCATTTCTGGTTCATTCTTCTTAAATATACTATAGTACAGTCAATAAAGTGAAAATTTGATGTCTTACAGTTTTTCTCAGTCTCTTTGGTACATTTCTAGAATCATCCTTAACATTTGCAAAACTATTTTTATTGGTAAACCATGGCTAAAGTTTGGATGACAATGATTGAAAATGAACAATGCTGCACTTTTTCTGTATGGCATGTATCAATTTCAACAGTACAGAGTTATACATTGCAAGGGATTGGACAGGATTCACAGTTACGCTTTGACTATATGTACTGTAATATGTTGACAGAGCATGTTATTGTGATACAGAAAAGAAGAAGATGAGACTATTTTACAGCACTGCATAGAATGACAGCTTCAGTTTTGACCGATGCATCTTAGCAATTGGAAAAAAACTGTAATTGTATCTATGCAGCTGGATGATTCATGGATAATATAATCCACATAAAAAGCTGAAGCAGAGCCAAAGAATAAACTATTGACGTCAAAATATCTCGCCTTTCGCTCCCACCCACCTTCAAGCACTTGCTTTTAAATCTTGGCCTTGATCGCTTTGAGAGATGAAAATTTGGCATTGTTGCTGCAGCTGAGTGTTACGTCAAAGGTGTGAAGTGAATACCATGGCGCAGCGAGAAGCACAGAAGCAGATGGATTTTCCCACAATCTGACTTTCACCAACCAGAACAACAGAGAACAATTCTGCAAAACCCACAACTGCATTTAATTGAAGCATAAATGTTTAATGAATCTGTATGGTTAATGTATGGTTAAAGATTGAAAACAAAAGCTACCATAAAGATCTTTGACATTGTTTTAAAAAGCCAGTATTAATTGGTTTGAGACAGAGCAACCAACAAAAAAGCCAAATACTTTCTTAACCACAATGCTCTTTTTGTGGTCTATTTACATTGTTTTATCAGCTTAATAATAATTTTTAAAACAATGATAAAAAAAATGTGCTTATGAACTTGATTTTGAACTGACAACAGGTTTCAGAAGTCCACTATGTATTTCTGCTTAGGGTCTCAGAGACCCCAGCTGTAAAACATGGTTAAACAGTGGATTTTCATATGTTCTACACATCTGTGATTGGTGTTACAGTTATTTATATATTTTTTATATTATATATTTATATTTATGCAGCATTACCCCTCCCAGATCCTAAATTGGTGTATTAAAATTAAGAGATGAGTTAGATGTCTCTAGGGTCTGATTAGGCCCAAATATATGCCACCTTCATCAAATGTGCAAACCCACTATGTGGCAAAGGGAAGGATAATCACATCAAAAATACATATTGGGTTTATTGTAAGGTCAGAAGAAAAGGGAAAAAAATTGATATTGCAATCACTGTGAGATTATTTTTACACATACAGCATACATACGTTAGCAACACAATACAAGGTTATAGGGAGCCTCAGCTGTGCCTTTAGTTAAGCATGCTTGAGCAGGATGTTTACTACATTGTCTGTACATGGAGGTCATTGCCTATTGAATACAGACTACAGAAAAACATACTCCATTGCTGTCCTCCCTGAATGCTAGTATGATGACCAAGTACATACCAAGCCAACAGGCTACAAAAATAGTATCAATCAGGCAATCAGGCAGTCATCTGACACAGCCTGCCTGCTTAAGCTACATTCTCACCTGAGGCATAAATGCAACCAACTGGGACCCATACTGTGTGGTCATTTCAAGGCCATTGACTGATAAAAGTGGGCAAGCTGGATGCAGAAACACTGGGACCAGAGGGGTCCTCTGGGAAGTTGAGCAATACGGTACCATGTGTAACAGAAACAGTTACACTGGGGTAATGGACACAGACATGGGTTTCCTATAAATTACGCTTAAATAATTTGCAACAGCAAATACATTTTGTAGGACGCGCAATGCAGTCCGATGACATTTTCTAGATAATGTTCACTGACAACGTTTTTCATTAGTTTTCCACCAAAATATTCAATCTTGCTATACAATCGCCGATCGTATTGATGATAGGATTTTATTACTTTTTAAACTCTATTCAGTTGACACTGTTCTCGAAACTCTAATCACAAATCCACAGCTTCTCACCCAATTCCCCAAACAACCTATTTTTAGGTCAAAATTAAGCTTTCCACTCAAACCATTTAATTTTGCTGAAAAACCAAACTTTGCCCTCAGACATAACACGCAAGCACTTAAAACACATACACTGCAACACAGTTTACACACTGGTAAAATAAATTCAAAACAATACTACAAAAACTGGTTACTAGTAATGGTGTTTGTGGTTCTCCCCCTCAAAAACCTTTTCACATGATGAACACAACAAAAGACAACAAATGTACATTTGCACATCTTTGGTCTGGGGTAGGCCAGAAAATCTCGTTTACATCACAGGCTATATTAGCCCTAGCCAGGCAGCAGGGGGAAAATCTTCTTGCATGCCTGATCCACCCCTGGCATGCATCAACTGAAACGTATAGGCAGACTTCTTCCATGGCCTGGAGGAGGTGAACACAGATGTAAGGTTCTCGTTCATACACTTTCCACCGCCATGCTGAAAAAATCTCCTCTATCGGGTTTAGAAAGGGAGAGTATGTAGGCAGAAAGATGTTGGAAAACCTTGGGTGACTGGGACTAGAGCAACGCGATGGAAGCTTACGTTATCCCAAACAACAACGGAGTGACGCTGCTCTGGTTGTGCTGGCTCCCTCTGGTCAATCTGGAACACACGCTCTCTTAGACCATCAAGGAAACCAAGGAGAAGCATAGTGTTATAGAGTCCAAGAATGGCACCGTGGTGAAGTATCTCTCGTTGGCTGATGGCCATGCACATTGTGATGTTCCGTCCTCGCTGGCCAGGGACACTCACAATAGCCCGATGGCCAATTATGTTCCTCCCACTTCTCTTTCTTTTTGTCAAGTTAAATTCAGCCTCATCAACAAAAATAATATCATGGAGAAAAGGTTGGCCTTCAATCGCAAAGATTCTCTGCAAAACACATGAAACACAGTAGAGTTAATGACTACCCTGAAAAACAGTTCAAGAGGGCACAAAAGGAAGACCACCATATATGTACTTTGTGCTACAGTATAAACTGCTGTACTGCTATACTGTGGCGGTAATATCTCATACAATATAAAAACTCATACTTCAACATAGGGCTGACACCCAATAGTCGAAGGTTCGATGCTTCGATGGGCAGAGCCTGATTCGACTGTCAATCTCACAGTCAAAGCTCCGCAGTGAAACAAGGATCATGCCATTTTGGCGATATGAGGGTGCTCAACGTCTGATTTTACATAGAACTACCAGTTTTCTCCCAATTAGTTAATATACAGCCTATTATAATATACATTTCAATGTTTAATGCTGTAAATATACATGTAAAAAGAATAAAACTTCCAATAAATGTTTTTAAAGTGTGTGAATAAATCCAAAATTGTAACCCTAACCCTGGGTCGTCAGTGTGCATGTGTAGGCATAGCGTGTGTGTGGTGGTGGAAGAGGAACACTTGCCGAAGAGACTGAGACCCGGCTTCACGGTGTTGTGAAGAATAATTTATTGCTTTTAAATACCCGGCTGCTTGAAATAGACCCGCGAGGAACTGCGACGTGCACGTAGTTGTCGGCAGCTGTAATGCACGTTAAACTCCGGTGAATGACAGGCGAGAGAGAGAAAGTGTCTTCAAAAAGCCTCAGTTTAGCTGGAAATTTACAGTGTAAGTTGAATGAATAGAGACTGCCGCTCTGCAGCTTCTCAAGATTAAAGCGGAGCTACTGTGTGTAAACCAGTTGGACGTCTCTGTGTCCTACAAAAACAGAAGAACTGATTACTGTAACACATTATTTTTACAAAATGGAAGCATACAGACACTCTGTTCATATGTGAGGCAATTTGATGCATTTGTTTTTTACAGTATTATTACCTATAGTGCACCAGCTACAGTACATGTATGTGTTGTAACAACAAAGAATAAAGCACTCAAACTGCTGTAGAGAGTAGTTTGAAACACCTGTTTTCCTCCCTGAAGGTTCTTACGATCGAGGCAACGGTGAAGCGACTCAAGTTTGGCTGTACTCATTGCCCAGCCTCCCTCATAGTCATACCATGGACACTGACATGGTCAACCAGAGTGGCACGAATTTCATCTCAGACCGCTTGTCTCCTTGCCTTTGCCCTTCCCCTACCCTGTCCTCCTTCTCTTCCTCGTCCTCTTTCTCCTCCTCCTCTCTGGTGTCCTACATCTCTTCCTTCAGATTTCTCTGGATCCATAGTTCCAAAACTAAATGAACTGACTCG